AGAGACACCGAAAGAAAAAAAGGGGGCAGTTTGCGTTTCTGCCACGTTCCACAACAGCGAAGCCAACAACAAAAACAACAATAACAACAGCAACAACATCAACATCCCACCTTGGCTCAAGCAGGGGGGACGGCACCAGCACGACGGCCGCCGCCCCCACATACGTCAGAACCCACAGCGGCGGCTTCCTGCGGAGGAGGCGTGACGTCACCAGCCAGCCGCAGAACACGTACGCCGGGGCGAGGGCGACGCGAACGTAGACGTGGCTCAGCAGTCGCTGCCAGACGTAGAAGGGGTAGTGTCGATTGTCGGAGAGCAAGAAAGGGTGCGCCAGGCTGTACCTGCCCCACGTCAGCACGAACACGCAAATTGTTTTGTTGTAGTGGGGATGGGGGGAGGCGCTGCACGGCTTACGTTCAACGCCTTGAGCCGTTACAACTTGATGGAGATAGCGTGGGTAGAACAAAGTCGGCTTTTTCGTCGATGAAGCACTCCTCAGACATCAAGCGTGAAGGTCCAAGGGAAGAACGCGACAGCGAGTGTAAGAACACGTTGGGCGAGGGCGACAACAATCGGGGAAACGTGCGCATGAAACGCTGCCGCGTTTCCAAAGCGTGCTCGCAATCGGGAGCGAACACCCGCCCGTTTCTTCTGTACCTTGCGCCTCTACTGCGCCGTGGACCAGCCTACAAAGAGCCCCTCGAACCACTCGCAGCTTTTCAACAGAGTCTCTGCAAAACCGAGCACAGCACAACTCCGCCACAAACACAAAACACGCCCGCACCTCCACAGCACCACCGCCACGCCAGCCACAACCATCGCAACGCGCCCCCGTCCTCCCGCGGCCCACTGCACGAAGCCCCTCCGCGCATCCTGCCCCAACAACGCCTCCCGCCCCCCTACAACCCCCCACAGCGACGCGCACGTGGCGGCCAAGTACGCCAGCTGCGCGAGGTGAGGCGGACCCCCCGGGGAGTGGTTCTCCTTGTCCCCGATCACCACGGCGCCTCCGTTGAAAACCCACACAAACACGGCGAACAGGGCCACCGGAATGGCGAGCGGCGCTCGGGCGCGCAGTATCGCCCCCCCCCTAGAGGCATCCGCCAAGGCCGCCCTCGCGAGTCCTAGCAGCAGGCGCGGGGTTGGCGGGAGGGATGGGTGGGCGCCGCCGTTTCTCGGCTGCGCGGAATCGATGTCGCTGTTGCTACCGCCGGTGGTCTGTTCTCCGTCGGTACCTAATTCTCCTCCTCCTCCTCCTCCTCCTCCTCCTCC